TTCTTCGAAAGCGCTGACGTTCAGCTATTCCCAGTGCTCTGGTCCGGGCAGAGTTCTAATAAAAAATAATATTCCCTTGTACGCCTTGATTTTCGTCCCTTGCCCAGTGCACATCGGTGTCCGGGAGGCAATTAAATTGAAGAATGTCATAAATATGCGCATGCCAGAGCCCTGGGGCCGGGGGGCCGTTGTGAATATGCGCTCCACCAACATCAGAAATGAACGATCACATCAGAGGTGCTTGAAACCGGCACACATGAATCAGGGAAGACATGGGCAGTGAGTCTAGTGGATTCGTCGAGATAACGCATATTTCAGAGATGCCTTGTCAATTGGAGAGAGCAGGGCAACGTCGGAAACGATCCTGTCCGTGCTACAAGGCACCGGGGAGTTGAGACCCTACATTAACACAGTGTTATGCATGTATGTGCCCAGGGAACAGTACCTTACGTTGCACATTGGAAGGTGGTATGACAGAGTATGGCAACAAGGGCCCAACAGGGGGAAAGATGGCCATTCAAAGGGTCGTGGACAAGAAGGTGATCTTTCCGTGTGATACCAGGTGAATGTGTAATTCTGTTATGGTCCATCGGGTAATCACGATATTAGGCGTAACAGTCATCGCCCCTGGCACCAAGGGAGTTCCAATTGAAAGCGTTGGCTGGAGATAACTAGTTACCCGATAGTTCTGGTTCTGGCTTGGGAGAAGATGGCGCGACGGATTGGCGTTTTTTGTTTGCCATCAGACAAAGAAAGTCGATCAACAAAGCCGGATGGCCTGTGACCAAAGTCAGGAGCATTGAGCCGAAACCTAAATAAACCGTTATTTAAGCTTAAGATATACATGTAGGCAGAGATGAAGTTGCCCAGCCTGCGGACATCACGAAGGGGTCAGGCAAGAAGTTTGACCAGTCCAGGCCGTCATCATATTGTTATAACTAGCGGGACTTTCGCTGCCGTAGTTAGTTAACTAATATGTAGGGTGGAAATAGGGCCATTCATTCTCTAGCTGGAGCTCTGCTTTCCCATATGGTGCAGATAACAGACGGTTACGACGCATATTCGCCTTCATAGCAGGGAAGCTGAAAAATTCACCCTGAGCGTTCCGGGACAGCGTGCGGATTCCGGGCGTCGCAGTCCTGTCAGTAACGATGGCGTCTTTCATTGGCAGGCCATCCTCGTAACGAATTCGAGACCCTAGTAATTAGTTAGTGAATTAAACCAACAACGGTACACAGATAACTTACTGGTGGATCGTTGCATAGTGACATATGCCTGGCAGCAAGCCCCCTAGTCATAGTCCTCCGCTGATATAGCACCGGGCCAGCAAGCAAGACTCTGCGCAGCCTGCAAAAGCTCCTCAAGCTTTTCTTTCAGCCAAAGCTTCTGGCCCCGGCTCTGCCGTTCATTGGCACAGACTGACGCCGTGTCTCTGGGCGAGTGAGACCGCAGATGTTGGTTGCAGTGGAACATGCCTTGCATGGCCTTGATATACCCAGTCCTTTGCTGGCGGCATGTCTTCCCCGGCTTGTCTGATTGTTGCCATTGTATCCTTGCTGAATTTTGATACTCGGGGTCACCGTAAAGCCATGGGTGTGGTATAACTGGTTATCCTGCCTGGCCCCCTTGCGAGCAGGAACCTGTATGTGAAGCTGCATAGCTGCATGTATGTATGTATATACCCGGACCATCCAGCGAGACCGCTGCCCCGGAGACCAGCAGAGAGATCTCCGTCTTCCCTGCCCAGCCCAGAAGAGAGAACATGTCCGTTTGCTCTGGAGGGGCCCCCCAGTGCTCAAGACGATGCCCTCCACACAGATATCCCGCGTGTCGTTTCGTCCGGCATCTGTACGGCGGGCGGGCGTTGTGCGAGGTTCCCGCAGCGCCCTCCTGGCCTCCCTCTTAAGGGACGGCCGCCCCCAGGCCTTCAGTCTTGCTCCCGCTCCTGCTCCCGCCTGCCACCCTTCAGCAGTGTTGAGCAGGCCGTCGCCATGGGATTCAAGTCGGAGATCAAGCATGACCAGTCCTCAGAGGCCAACAGCCCAGCGGCCGAGGAGGCCGGCGAGAGCCTCTCCTCGATGCGCGGCGGAACGCTCCAGGACAAGCGCGACATGTATCGAATCGGCAACAGTCAGGAGTTGAACGTAGGCGACTCTTCTTCTTCGCCGTCTTCCTTGAATATCCAGCTGGCTAATTGTCTCCCCGTAGAGGAACTTTCGATTCGTCTCGGTCTTGGGATTCGCAGCTGTGCTGATGTGTACGTGGGAGGTTGTCATGATGTACGTTCAACAACACTACGAGATGACGGGGAAATGCACATAAAATACGGGACCGTGAGAGGCTGATGTCGCCCGTCTGTATACCAGAGCGAGCACTACTGGTCTAGTGAACGGAGGGCTGAGCGGCATGATCTATACCTACATCGGGGGCCTGTTTGGCTTCTCGTTTGTGATTCTGTCCATGGCCGAGATGGCGTCGATGTGAGTCTTCAACGAGCTTCTACCCACGCCAGGCCGCGAGTAGAGGGCCATGCTCATCATATACTCGCTTCTGCAGGGCTCCAACGTCTGGAGGACAGTACCATTGGGTCTCTGAATTCGCGCCGGCCAGCAGCCAGAGGTTCCTGAGCTATGTGACCGGCTGGGTTTGTGTGCTGGGCTGGCATACGGGCATCGCGGGCTGCTCCTACACAGTTGCGAACATGCTCGTCGGCCTTATTGCAATAAACAACCCGGGCTATCAGCCTGAGCGGTGGCATGGCACTCTGCTGATTATTGCGATAGCCCTCATGGCCATAATCTTCAATACCTTCTTTGCGCAGAAGCTGCCTTTCATCGAGGGGGTCATCCTCCTCGTCCATGTGTTCGGATTCTTCGCGGTCCTGATCCCTCTCTGGGTCCTGGCTCCCTTGAATTCAGCTGAGGAAGTCTTCCTGAATGTGGTCGATAGAGGGGGATGGGGAAATAATGGCCTCGCCTGTCTTGTTGGATTAGGAGCTCCCATCTATGCTCTTATTGGTATTGAACATATTCCCTTGAACTGGCAGGCAAATCACTAACCTGGCCTGGATTTATAGGGCCTGATTCCGCTGTTCATATGTGTACGCCTTCTCTTCTTACCTTCTGTTTACACCATTGAAACAACCAACTCAGTTCTACTGACTTCCTGGCGTTAGCCGAAGAAATCAAGGATGCTTCCCGAGTATTACCCCTGAGCATGCTTTGGACCCTCATTTTGAACGGAACCACCGGTTTGATTATGCTCATCACATACGCCTTTTGTGTGTATGACATCGATGCAGTCCTCAAAGACCAAACCGGCTTCCCCTTTATTTCCGTCTTCTTGCATGCCACCCAGTCTGTTAGGGCAACAACAGCAATGACATCCCTCATATTGGTCCTTCAGGCCTGTTCAGCCATCAGCAATGTTGCCACTACTTCCCGCCAGCTCTATGCATTCGCTCGTGACGGTGGCATTCCTTTCCCTTCATTTTTTGCCAAGGTAACTAGTTATAGCTTCACCCTCCCGTGGCATCCAAATGCGGACACGAAGCTCTATATATCACCGCCTCGCTGACAATACCTATCATATAGATTGATAAACGCTTTGTCGTCCCTCTCAACTCACTCTGTGTCAGTTTCTTCATCGTCTGCCTGCTATCCCTGATAAACATCGGGTCAACAGTTGCGTTCCAGGCCATCATATCCCTTGGTACTGCCTCGCTTCTGTCGTCGTACATTATCTCCATCTCCTGCGTTCGTCTCAGGCGCTGGCGCGGCGAGCCACTTCCACCGGCTAGATGGAGTATGGGCCGGTGGTCCAGCACGGTTGAGACCATAGCGATCCTCTTCCTTCTCATCGCCTTTAGTTTCTCATTCTTCCCGCTTGTCAGCCAAGTTGACGTGACAACTATGAATTGGAGCTGTGCTATTTTCGGAGGAGTGGTCATGTTCTCTCTGGTCTATTACATTCTGCATGCCAGACATGTCTACAAGGGACCAGTCACGCGAATAAGGCCGTGGGCAGAGGCAGCTCGGATCGAATAGTTGAGTGTAAAGGTTGCTGCTCCTTCTATCACTCCTTTAGCCTCTTCCTTCGCGCAGATAACTTGTTCACCCCCGTGGCTTGGCCATTTCATTCGTGGGCTTGAGGGGACTAGACTTATATGCACGAGATTTATGTAAATAAATGACGCCCCAAGATAATGATGGATGGTCTCTTTGCTTATACATAGAGAGTGGTGTTTAGCTGAATACACTGGCAGCTCACCTAAGATTTCAGCTTGCCAACGATTCGACTCATGCTCTTATACGGGGCAATGGCCGAGTCCCTGGTTGACAGGGGGGTCACGATAGTCAGAGTGAGAAGGATCAGGAGCGGCGTAGACTGAGGCTAAGCCTTGCCCGATACTTGGTGATTGGTTACCTACGATCTGAGCTGTTGGCTTTTGACTCATACAGGTCCAGGGGTTGATTCAATACAAAAAGCCTGAGGCCACGCAACGCTGCCAGGTGTCCCCATAATCTTCCCCCAGAACTTCAAATTTCGTTCACAAGCAAGCGTTCCAGGAATCATGGATTTCGATCTTCTATATGACCGGCCTGGGGGCGAGCCGTACCTGACTATACCCGGGCACCCAAACATCATCATCACTCCTCCACGGATCGAGGATGCCAGTGAGCTCATCGATATCCTCAACAATTTCGAGGTAGCAATATGGCTGCAAGGCCCTCCATACCCATACCCCGTGGACGAGGCAAGGCAATACCTGAGGACAGTTAGCATACCCAGCTCGCTGCAGATCAGAAAGGAAATAGAGGCACACAACAGTAGTGTTAACGGAGGCGGACATGGAAACGAGACAACAAACCGTTTCCTGAGTGGCTGTCCAGTGAATTCAATTCGGGAGATAGACCCAGAAACTGGCAAGGAATCCCTTATAGGCTGTATAGGTATAAGGAGAGACGACTTCTACGAGATCGAGGATGATGCGGCGCGAGAGGCAGAATTTGAAGCCAATGCTGCAAAGAAAGCTGGAGATGGAAGCATCATATGGGCGATGGGGAGTAAGTCTCTGCTTCATTATAAGCCCCCAAACAGGCCAAGAACGGTTTGAGCAATGACTGATAAAAATGTTGCAGACTTCCTTAGCCCATCCCATAAAGGACGTGGTATCACGACAATGGCAGCTAAGACTGTAATTGACTGGGGCAAGAAGCATATGAACATCAAGGAAGTCCGAGCCTCGATGTTTGATGGGAATATTGCCAGCCAAAGGGTGTATGAGAAGATTGGTTTCAAGCATATGACTACCAGAAAAGACGCCCTGACGAGAGCTGAAATAAAAGGAGGTGGGAAAATAACGATTCACGTTCTTACTTCGAAAGAACAGTGACGGGTGGGCTGCATTTTATTAGCTGTATCGTACATATGGGGAATCTATTGCTCAATGTGGTGCAAAAATTAAGCTCGGCTCGCTGATAATAAAAATTCTAGAAGCAGAGATACACGGAGTGAAACAAAATCTGATATAAAGGGTATATATATATGTATAATGTGATTGATAATGCCTGAAAGATACATATTAGTAACGGGGTTGCTGGCTGCTTTCATATTCGGGGGTTCTGACCTTGAAATTATCTGGAATTGAGCATCTGTACTTGAACTGGCTTAGTATTTGGCTAAATACACTCAGGTATTAGATTCCTAAAAAACTGTGATGGCGTATACGCTTGCTGGATATATGTGCATGTATATATTATGGCCGTCAAAGTAACGGACGATACATGGCTTCAGATCACGATAGGCAGTCTCCCGAAACTAGTCGTTGAGAAAAACCTAACGTTCCACGAAATTGTAATTCAAGAGGCTCGTGACTTGCGGAAAAATGGCAGGTCGTATCCTTATATGGACATCAAAGTAGTGAGGACACCACTTGGAACGTACGTCCTTATGAAGGTAGGTTCCAGATGAAGTTCAAATTAGCTCCTTCGAAGCCGGACCAAGCCTGATTGCCACCGTCTCCAAAAGGTGCCATTGAAGGATCAAAGGGCAACGATAACCAGTCATCGGCACTAATGTCATTTAATGAAGAGATCGGATCCTCAAAGACAGGATTATTAGGAACATCCATGGAGGAATTCATAGGGGCAGAGCAAACTCCTCCGGGAGAGTACTGCTGTACTTGAGCTTGCTGTAGAGGATGGGGCAATTGCTGCTGCTGCTGTTGCTGCTGTGGTTGTTGTGGCGATGCTTGTAGACCCTGAGTTGCAGGCGAAGCATTTTGAGCCTTTGGCAAGGGAGTAACAGAAGAAGGGCGAGTTGTTGACCGGCTGACTTTTGGATTCTTATTTGACAGCACAAAGCTTCTTCGTAGTCGTGAGAGCAGAGAGTCTAGCAGTGTTGCATATCGGGAGGCTAGATGGATGTCATCTAGCGAACTCGATCGTAGAGCCTGGATACTCTTCGTCAAGATATCAAGAGACTCTTGGAGTTTGGCATTACGGACGCCTAAACTTAGGGCCTTGAGGAGGAATATTGACGAGCTTGTGATGCGCAGGAATATTCTGACTGGAGAGAATCGAAGAGCCCCGTTTTCAGCGAGCGTGGTGACTTTCTGTAATAAGCTGCATGAGCCGTCAATCACCTCTTGTATGAACTCATAGTCAATTTCGTCCATGTTTGCCTGGCGAACGTCATCCATAACAACGTCGGGGTCTGATTCATTGAGTACACGCTCCACCACCGCTTGCATTCCGATGGAGTTGGTGTAGACTCTAACAAACTGGTACTCAATGAATATCATGTCACCGAAAGGCCGTGAAAGGTCTATTAATATGATTATTAGCGGAGTAAGGATGATATGAAGTGCGTCACACTTACGTTTAGAGTCCAGATGCTTCTGCCGCCATTGAGATAGCAATGGGCGGAAGTGATCTAGAAGCCCAATATACCGGCCACTATGCAACTGTTGTCGTGTGAATGTTGCAGAGGGAAAGAACATATCCGTAACGGATTTTGCCAACTTCGTCAACTCAATCCACGAGTTCATAAACGTCTGCCACTCGTCAATACCAGTATTGAGCGACGACGGGGCAACTATGGAATGGTTCAGGCTTTGCGGCATTAGGGACATGCAACCCAGCCTAGATGCTAGCTGGTTGATGAACACGTAAAGCAGCTGGCGTATACGATGGCGAGGGAAATTCATGGTTTCTTCAACCGGGAAACCCTGGTGTTCTCCTTCGGGGCTCGATATAAGGCTTTTAGCCCGTGAATCGTCCGTATCGAAGATTCCAAGTTCATGTGCTAGAGTTAGGCCAGAGCCAAGCAACATCCATGACATTCGATCAGAACGGCGTGCAGGCTCAATGACATCCTCCAGCCATCTACTTGATGCAGACACAGAGGAGTCTGGACTTGTCGAGTCATGGTGTTCTGGAGTATTGTCCATCATCAAATCTGAGTCCCATCCGTCACTCTCGGGCGGGAAATGTAGAGACCGGGGATGCCATTCAGACATTACTAACAGGGCCTCGATGGTCCCAACAGTGCGAGTCTTGGCCTTGGAGCCTTTCTCCTGGCCGAGCATTACGCGCATAATCAAATGTTGGCAGTGCTGCCAGAGCCTTTGATGGATGAAGAAGCCTCGGGACGCTCCGCCCACGCCGGGCAAAGTATGGTATCGCGATGAAATCATGAGAATAGTGCAGCATAGAACAGGCTCTTGGGAGATAAGCCAGTAGTGATTTCTATGATGGGAGTAAAAATGTGAAAGAATGGGAGATAGAGGAGCCATATTTTTGAAGAACCTGAGAACAGTTAGTCAGATAGTTAAGGGCAAGATAGGACTGCAGAGCAGGGTAATGACATACATATCAACATAAGTCACTGCCTCTCGGGATGAGAACCAGCCCATCTTAACAAAACGGCACTGATCCCAAACAGCCAATACATCTGGTTCGACGTGAGAGAGCTGCGTTGGGTCCGATGTGGGAGAACCTCCATACGAGGTAGTGGATGTTGGCGTATCGTAGGTGCGGATTCCTGCATGGGACTGGGTCTTTTGATGTTGCGAGTAGGGACGTTCCTGTCCTGTACCTGTACCTGCAGCAGCACTACCGTTAACATCATCCCCAGCACCACCTTCTTTGGACATGGATGGCCGCCGGTCAGTAGATTCGACATCAATCATTTCGTTGTCCTGTTCCTGCGCAGCAGCTTGGAAGAGAATGTTCAACGCATCGTTCCCACTCGACACGACAGTTCGCATGACCGAAGTATGTAGGCCATGGGAGCTACTTGACTGTACACCAGCATGAAGCCGATCTGATGAGCTGCCTCGATATTCGCGTCTATGGACGTTATTCGTGGTGGAAGAGGTCAAGACAGGTGATAAACTGCCGGTGCTGCTCATGTTAGCCGGTGTAGTAGGCGCAGCGCGGCCGACAGGGTCAAAATGCATGCTTGTATGCCCGCTAGCTGTGCTGGTATTGGAATTGGGAGCCCCTCCAGCCGCACCAGGTATGTTGTGAGCATGATGCCCCGTCGAGGAGGGTGTGTCCCCAGCATTCGATACGGAATAGAGCCCGTCATGAACCGATTGGTTCACCTGGTTGGCTTCCTCCGTATCCGCATCGGCACCGGCTATTTGCCCTGCGCCGGCATTTGTAGCGTTGGTAGTGGTAGCGGCAGTGGTGGTGGAGAAAGGGGCTGACGTCTCTGGCGCGGATGTGTTCGTAGTAGTATCTATATATAGAAGATTCAAGATGAGCGTCAGCCAGATACTCCATACATGTACGCAACACCATCCCCCAAACCCCAGCTGCACGACATTAAGATGTGCATTATGAGTCCCGCCTGTCCGCCCAACTCCCGCCGTTTATCCGCCCTCCGGCAGAAAAGAGAAAAAAAGAAACAAAACAAAGCAAAAACAAAAACCTGGGCGGAACGGCGGAAGGCGGGGAGGAAGGCGGGGAGGAGTGGCAGTAAGCAGTGGCAGGTGTAATAATTACCCTTCTTCTTCTTGCGCGCCCAGGCCCGGTCCTCGCTGAACTGGCAGTTCCGCTGCTCCCTGCGACATCGCAGACACGGCGGGCCTGGCGGAATCCCACGATCGTTGTTCCCGCCGAGCTCGCACTTCGCCTTGCGCTGGCGGCAGGACATGCAGGCCTTATACGTGCGCAGGAACTCTCTCCTGCTCGACGCCCGGCTCCATGTAGGCCGTTCGACCTCTGCACCCTCCATGCCTCACGTCTGGCCGTCCCGGCTCTCTCCCGACTCTCCTGCTGTGGTTCTCTCTCTCTCTCGCGTCCGATTTTTCGTCTCCCTTCCGTTTAAAGCTTCTTTTCTCGTCCGCTCGCTCGGGGTCGGCGTTCGTGCAGTTACGTGATGTGGTGTCGCCGTGCCTCAGCCCAGGTAACGACAGACATGGCGATGCTGGTGCTGGTGAGGTTGGCGATGCGAGGAGAGTCCAGTTGCTGACGCGCGCTAACCGGCCTCAAACGTCCCAGCGCTCCCCTTGGGCGGCTTTCCTTGCTACTTAGATCGGGGACTCACTCTGTGGGGGAAACGGCCGCAAGACGCCAGCCGCGGCCTCGGCAAGGGCAATCCCGCTGCTAGCCGAGCCAGTCAGACTCCGTCGCTTGGTCAGCAGCTTAGGTAATAGCCGAGAGGTTATTAATATATGACAAAGCAGATTACTCAGCATGAAAATCCGGGGAAGCAGAAGACGGCAAAGAAGCAAGAAGTAGGAATATAGGCTGGATTAGAAGAGGTAAGTAGAAGGACGGACAGCCTTGCAGCGCAAAGAAGAATATGTACAGTGAAAGGGAAGTTGGTTAAGAGGGTCCTAGTTGCGGACACGGATGGGGTGAGCCTCCGTGTTGAAGACAAACTTGTCCTTTCCACTACGGCTAATCTGCCAGTCGGCCTCTGCAGAAACAAGTTAGCCACGTTGAATCTGGTTATTAAGTATTTATTAGGAGGGAAAGGGAAGTTTCAAGGAAATAGCATACCATCAGAGAAAGCCAGGTAGGTGTACTTCAGAGTCTCGGCAAAGAAGAAGCTGGGCTGGCTGTCGGTCTTGGATCCGCCGTTGGCAGCGTTGACATCGCTGATGGAGGAGAAGCCGCTGTCCGTCTTGGTGGTTTCGCTGATGGCCACAAAGGCATCCCAGATCCATCGTTGATACTGTTTAGAGAGAGAAGAGAAGTTAGTCGAGACAGCAACATATGAATTCACATGCGTAGAATTACGGGTGTATATACCTTCTTGTCTCCAGTGACTCGGTAAGCGTAGTAGAAACTCTCGATGACCTCAGGCCTCAAGACATATCCAGAGCTGTTAATATAAAAGCCATACTTGGTGAAGAAGGAAGCCTGGTCGCTGGGGACGTTCTTCTCGTCCCAGCCGAAGGATTCAGGTCCGATCTTGGTCTCCGTACTGGCATAAGTCTTGTGGCAGCCATCAACCAGTTTCAGTCCGAATCGGGTGAATTCAGGTCGGTTTAGCTCTGGTCCGCCGAGGATGAAGTTGCCTCCATCAAAGCAAGCGAGGTGCTGGGAGCTCTTGACCAATGCTCCGTTTGCCCAGGCTCCAACAAATGTGGTGTCAGGGTGTAGCAAGGGGGAAGATTTCAAATGTTCAATTGTCGACTGGGCAGCCAGCACCCATCTATATATACATATTTATTAATACTAATTGGTTTAAAATGATACCGGATGCATGACTTCTTACCTATCTTTGTATTTTCCAAACGCGCTACGGTCGTAGACGTACATCTTGATCAGGTACTCGTAAAAGGAGTCATCACCGCCCTCCCAGCTGGCACTGGCACGCTCAAACTTGCCGGTCTGGATGTTGATGCTTCCTCCAACAAGACCGGGGAAGACCTCGTTCGACTTGGGTTGGGGGTTGAGCAAGTACTCCTCAGCCTTCTGGGCAAGCTTGCCGTACTCTTCCTTGTTGGTCAAGTCAGAGAGCCGTGTCCCTACGGGCGAGTCAGTTGGACGTGTGCCATAGGGATGTCACTTCGTATCAGACAAAATCTTACATTCAAGAACCAGAGTTCCGACCGTTGCAAGGCCGTTGCTTGTGGCGCCGTCCTGCATGAAACTATGTCAGCCTTGTCATGTCTCATACCATGTCAGTCAACGACTTACAGTAGTCTGCTTAGGAATGTTCAGGGTGTTTGAGGGAATGCCGGTGGTAGAGTTGAATGAGAATTTAAGGACATCTGCAAGCTCTACAGCCTTCTTGAGAAGGACATCGACTTTCTCGGGCTAGACAGAATAAAAGTCAGTAATTCTGAAACTTAAACCGCAGTCAATGGTGCGTCTCCATAGCTAAACAACAGTTGGACCTACATCTGCATTCATAGCTCCTGAATTCTTCAACAGGTCGTAACCAGATATCAAACCTCCTAGGTAGCGGATAGTTGTCTCAAACAAGCTGCAGAGATCGTCTGTCTTGCTGAAATCGATCTTGCTAATATGGTCCAGGATCTGGTTTACAACATCTGGCAATCCCATGATGATGGCAGTCGAAAGCGCATCAACTGGCGTGGCTCCCCAACCGTTCCTATCACATAATCATAAGCGAGGAGCGACAAATGGCGTTTGCTGTAGGTGATGTATGCGTATATAACAAAGGCAAAATAGGGTAATAGAATATCGTACAGTGGGTTGGATCCCTGGTTGGAGACTGGCCGGAGTTCGTCCATTGGGTAAGCGTAGGCCATATAACCCTTCCACGCATGGTTGAATGCATCTTTGATAGCTTGCGGTTTGTCCTCGTCGGCAAGATCGGCGAGGGCCACGAATCGATGCTGGTTCTGATTCATGGTAGGCAGGGCGAGGGAGGTGAGGGCGAGCGAGGAAACGCCCAGGAGTGATAGTGACTTCATCTTTGATTATGTCCGTATGCTCGGCGTCCAGTGGTATAATAAATGAGAGAACGAAAAGAAGAAGAAGATAGTAGGATCGCAAAAGAGGGACTCGACGATTATAATATATAGATGCAAAGAGGGAAAATAAGAAGAAAGCAACCCACTGTCTTGCTGACCATACGGGATATCAGGCTCAACAGCAGCAATCAGATATCATCCCATCACACAACCGGGAGATGGAGAAGGGGAGAGCAAGCCGAGGGCTCCTTAAACTCGAGATCCCTTGATCGACATGGAGCTCTTTTTCTTTCTTTCTTTTTCTTTTCTTCTTCTTCTGCTACTTTGCTTCTCCATCTTCTCCAAATCATAATAATATTATGAGGGTCCCTTTGCTTTGGGCGCCTCCATATCCACCAACCCCCGGCAGGAACAGAGCTTCATCCTGGCTCGCTCCTCACCTGCCCACGCAAAGGTNAAAAAAAAAAAAAAGAAAAAAAAAGAAAAAAGAAAAGGAAAAAGAAAAGCAGGGAGAGAATCCCTGGCCAACTAGCGTGTTCGCAGTGGAACTCCCAGATCTGCTTTCCATTACAGATATCACAGGTTGTTGGCTGTTAAACTAGTGTTAAGCTCCGCGCAGTCGGACCATCAGGAGATCTCAATTTCAGCCACTCTGGCAGTCATTTTTGGATGTGTATTCCATGTTTCTTTTCCCTTGCAGCGGTACCTCGGAGCAGAAACAATGGTCTTGTTGCCTGTTCCACGAGGTAATATGTGTATATATTGTTCCGAGTGATGGTTGATGCAAGGCAAGGCATCCCGGACGTGGTGCTCTCACAGAGTTGCCGGATATGTATCATATTATATCTGCTGCCGTGCTGCCAGGGACGGGAGAGACTGGCGGGTACACTCTGTCCTCGAGTAAGTATCTCGACTACTCCGTACGGAGTACTGGCTCTCTCATCGTCCACCAGTCCTTTCTCACACCGAGCAGCTCGCGCCAAAGCTGGTAGGGCGTCGCACGAAACAGATATCAGACGACCTGGGGATGCCGGCCCAACGAAGCGGTTTGCTAGTTGCCTCGACGGCCATCGTCACCCGCCGCCCATCTCGCCGGGGCTGGCTCCTTTGCCTATGTCACGGCCCCATAAGTTACGAGATGCAATTTTTGGTCTTGTTGTGCCTTTCTTTGCGTTTACCCTCCTTGCCCCTGAAAGTGATCAGCAGCTAGGGGGGAGGACACGCTTAGACGAGTAGCGAATAACAGGCGCTTTTCTTTTTTCCTCCCTGTTGCCTCCCCGTCAATGGGCTGGCTGGCTGTTGAACCCGAGGACAGGACCAGCAAGTTATGTGCAACATGGGGCCGGCTTGCCTGTTCCTGGTCCTTGACTCTGATGCTGCTGGGGAGCGAAGGGCGAGACCAGGACGTAGTTAGTTAATTTAACCACCGTGTCTCGCTTTGCCACGAACTATCCACGGCGACAGCATCTCTACCAGCGCCGGCGATGTGTATACTACTTGCTGACCGACATCTGACCCCCACAAACGACCGCCAGCAAGCATGTTGCATGTCTCGTGATGGCGTGATGGCGTGAAGGCGGGATCCTCAGGGCTGTGTCTCTCGTCCTTGGGGTGGATCTAACTCCAACGCACACACATATAGTATGCATTATTCGAGCATCACCACCACCACCGGAAGAGACGAAGACGCCTGCCCCTCCCCCCCGACATCTCGGCCATGAGGATGGAGAAGAGAAGATTATCAGATAACTAGTTTAACGTGCCCGGCATGGACACTGACTCGCTGCAGCAAGGGTCAACAGACCCATTTTAGGCCCTTCACTAACTACGGCACTGCTCTGGTCTTAAACCGCCTGATATACTTATATCGAGCAGGCCGGCAGCCTCACCAGAGTTTAGCGAGTTATGTATGCGGTCCTCCCTCCTAGGCTGCCTCTCCAGGTGAGTTGGCCTCTGTTTACTCCGTACCACTTCCCTGTCAATGGCGAGATGAAATCATACTTGTATAGAGCACACGGGTGTGCCCAAGACGACCGTTCTCTTCCTCGGCCAGGTGCCGCCTGGAATCAATCACAACTTCACCGTCAAACTTCTTTCGTCCCCTTTGTTCGTCCTTGCTCAGGCCGCGATGGTTGTGTCGAGCCAGTGATCGCCAGTGATCACACGCTTGAAATCCATCACTCTATTGTCAACGAAGCCACGCCTGGCCTCCACCGCTCTGCCGCTGCTACCGATGGCCATAATGGCTCCTTTGTTGACGGGAGCGTTATACATGCATGCATGCATAGGTAGTTACCCCGCTCAGATGTCCGGGGAATACTTGACGTAGATGGCTGAGAACAGTGCAGTCGGTCAAAAAGAAAAAAAGGAGCTCTGCCGTCTTCCTACCAACTGCTTGATACACTACAAGAGGACCTCGGCGGTGGACCCCAGAGGGGGACAAGCAGTGCGGGGTGGGAAGCATATGCTTGTATACATGTATACAGCAATTAAACATACTGATGCATTTAGAAAGGCACGGCCTGGTCTCCGGATCCCAGTTGCGGACTTCCCTTCCCTTGCCCATACTTTAGGGCCCAGGTGGGAGGTTGACGGGGGGTGCAGACGGGTCTATCAAGTGACTATCATGTACCGGGGGCCTTGAGGTTAAGTATGCACGTTTTTCTTGTTACCGTCTTTTTGCATACTACTCTATCTTATAGATCTATAGCCGAGGACTCTTTGCCCGGTTGTACACCCAGTTCATGGAGGTAAAGTGCCTTGGTACAAAATGCAACTCTAGTTCTTTGACTAAATTCCTCTCACGAATCACTAGCAGGTCACACAGAAAAGTTGGGGAAATGGGGAGAAACAGCCTAGGCGGCGGACGAGGGGCTCACACTTGTCTAACTGTTCGTCCAACCGGCAGGCCAAAGGGATACCCATCGCTATCCTGAAGTTTTGCGAGTTCTAACAACCGTCGAACAACCTATCATGTTGGCGATGGCTTCTTCGACCGTTTAAGCATAATTTGCCTAGTTATGCGTGTCTCCGATTCAAACTCTTGGTTGATCTTTAACTTATTGCTATCGATTGTATGGAGTAATTCTAACACACAGCTGAACATCTAGAAGAGAACTAGTCTTAACAGTTCATTCGTGTCTGTTTCATATCACATCCTTCTGTCTAACAGATACCCCTTTATCGGCGCGTACGCCCGTTAGATTACGACCTATTTTATAGGTGCTATCGGGTCAGCCACGCCTTACAGGCGGCATTAAAACCTTGACTAGTTATCTGATGGCCGTATTTCAGGCAGCTATCATCAGCCAGGATAGACCCTTGGTTAACTAACTCTCTTATCGATCTGGACTCTTAATTCAATTTGTTATCAAGGATAACAAATGCTATCAGGCACCAGGTTGACGTAATAGTCACAAATGCATGAAGAAGATCCCCTGGGCCGAGATACATCTTTGTTTTGATCATAGGGATGCCCTTTTGCCCTTTTATTTATTGCGTATACCCGTCGAGCTGCCCTAACCCATGTTCTCGTTCGTCTTTGCCGAATGATTGTAGGGGAAGGTACGCGAGGTATTCTGTGCGTCATACCTTTTTGGCCACAATACCCTTCAATAGCTAGCTTTTAGAGGAGGCAGGCGACCATCTCTATAGAACACTCCTATGCAGAATCTATTTCTGTGTGGGGAGGATATATATTGTGCTATGAAAGGGTCCATCCAGCCCTGGTACCTGGTAGAAGTACGAAACGTTTTTGATCGAGTTCGACGTCGACGAGATTTGTCAATCAGTAACTACTTGATTATCTTCGGGTAACCCAGGAACTAGTTAATTATGCGGTGGAAACGGCGGTGCAAGGGAGATGGCCACGAATCAACAACCAGAGGCCCCAAATAGCAAGCTCACTGTAAATTAACTACCGATATATCCTGGCATATAGCATGTATATATATATCTGCGTGTCATTCTATCCTACCTATCTGTATCTCAATAATAATAACACTTTCTCGCTTCCTGCTTGGCGGCTAATTAAGGCCGGGCAAGTGCCGCAAAAGCTTAAGTTCCTTATCTTTATCTAGTTATCTAGTTAACTAAATCTAATCTAAGTAGTTAAAGTTAACTACCCCACCGACGAAGTTTGCATGGGAGTCATAACTATTAAACTACTGCTGACGAGCTCCAGCCGTGCAAGTTCAACCACAGCAGAAGAAAAAGGGAGTCAAACGGAGGTAGAGAAGAGAAAGAAATAGACGGTCGAGAGGCTTGCCTACCAGATATCCTCCTTCTGAAGCCAACAGAGACACTGCAACTGCACTAGTTAAAGATGGCGCTGCCATTCCTGCTCTCCCATACACCCGAGTCGAGCTCCACGGAGGGCCTCAGCCTTAGGCAGATCTCGTACTTCGGCAGGGTTCTTATAAAGCCATCGAGCGTCGACTTCGCTCTCTCCTTTGTCCGAGATAGCTTCTCCTTGCTGGATGTCTGCATTGATGCGACAGCCTTCACGGATGTGGCAGACATCGTCGACGTTCTCAACACTGGAGCAATCCTTGCCTTTGTAACGCTTGACCAGCTCCAGACGCTTTCAAGAGAGCAGAGTGTCCCTTCGTCACGAATAGTGGTGCTCGTATCATCTGCTTCTGAAGTGCTTGAATTGAAGAAGTGGGTGGCTGAAGATGCTGAGCGGAAAGAGATTGGCGTCAATTGCGCTTCGTCCGAGGCATTGGATACTGTTGTATCCGAATTGTCAGACGACTCTTCCGTTAAGACGATCTATAGGTCCAACGATGGCTCAACAAGTCAGACGGCCCTCCTGACTAGCGAGCAGGAGGGTGTTGTTAGCATTATTCCTTCTGCTATTCTGTCTGCAGAGAAAGAAGAGCTTTCACCCGCAAAGTTCCTGGTTGCTGGAGCTGTTCCAGATAGCAACACCGGGTTATATGCTACCACTGTCACAGATGAGCGTGGAATCTCGCTAGGACTTGTCTGGAGCAGTGACAAGAGCGTTGTTGAAGCCATTAGGACCGGAACTGGGGTGTATCAGAGCCGGAAACGCGGACTTTGGTACAAAGGAGCCTCGAGTGGTGACACCCAGGAACTTGTCCGAGTTGGCTTGGACTGTGACAATGATTGCCTTGTCTTCGTAGTTAGACAGAAAGGGAGAGGTCAGTCTGCTATTTTATATTCTGTTCGAGCTTAAACTGATATTTAAGTGTATAGGCTTCTGTCACCTCGGAACTGCTAGCTGCTTTGGGGCATATAATGGCCTTTCCCGCCTACAGCATACCCTGCAAACTCGGAAAGAAAGTGCACCCCCTGGATCGTATACCTCTCGTCTATTCAATGACCCCAAATTGTTGGAAGCCAAGATAATGGAGGAAGCGGAAGAGTTATGTCAAGCGTCAGAAAAGGAAGAAGTTGCCTCTGAAGCTGCCGATTTGATTTACTTTGCTCTTACAAAGTGCATTTCCTCTGGCGTGTCTCTTGAAGATGTCGAGAGAAATCTTGACCTAAAGAGCCTAAAGGTGAAGAGAAGACAGGGGGATGCAAAACCTGCGTGGTCTGAGAAACTTGGCCTCGCCTCTACCAAGGGGGGTTCCGGAGAACCAGCCAAAGAGGATGCTAAACCCAAACCTCCAGCTGCAGAAGCAGATGGAAAAATTACAATGAAATGTTATTTCACTGCATCAACTCCACCAAAGGTCGTCCGAGAGGCTCTCCAAAGGCCTTCCCAAAAATCCAACGATGCAGTTGTCAACCTCGTTCGCCCCATAATTCAAGATGTTCAGCAGAATGAAGATGCAGCAGTGCTCAAGTATACCCACAAATTCGAAAAGGCTACCTCCTTAACATCACCTGTGCTGCTTGCTCCTTTCCCTGAAGATTTGATGAAATTGTCTCCCGAGACTAAGGCCGCCATTGACGTCAGCTACGAAAATATCCGGCGCTTCCACGCCGCCCAGCAAGATGAAAAGCCGCTATCTGTTGAAACCATGCCGGGAGTAGTCTGCTCACGCTTTGTCCGTCCCATCGAAAAGGTTGGCTTGTACATACCCGGAGGCACGGCTGTACTGCCTTCAACCGCACTTATGCTAGGCGTTCCTGCCATGGTTGCCGGATGCAAGAATATTGTATTTGCATCTCCGCCACGCTCCGACGGCAGTATCTCTCCAGAGATTGTATACATTGCCAAAAAGGTCGGAGCTGATAGCATTGTGCTTGCTGGTGGGGCCCAGGCTGTTGCAGCCATGGCCTACGGCACCGAAAGCATTACCAAAGTAGACAAGATTCTCGGCCCAGGAAATCAGTTTGTAACAGCTGCCAAGATGTTCGTGTCAAACGATACTTCTGCCGGCGTGGGTATCGATATGCCCGCAGGACCTAGCGAGGTCCTCGTTATCGCTGATAAACACGCAAATCCTGTCTTTGTTGCGTCAGACTTACTCAGTCAAGCAGAACACGGCGTTGATTCTCAGGTTATACTTATCGCGGTCGACTTGAACGAAGCTGAGCTCAAGGCCATTGAAGACGAACTTCACTCACAAGCCATGGCTCTACCACGAGTAGACATTGTTAGAGGATCAATAGCCCACTCCGTGACCTTTGTTGTCAAAAATGTGGAGGAGGCCATGACTCTGAGCAACGAGTATGCCCCTGAGCATCTGATTCTCCAACTCAAGAATGCAGCAGATGTTGTTCCGCTTGTGCAAAATGCCGGAAGTGTCTTTATTGGTGAATGGACTCCTGAAAGTGTTGGTGACTACTCTGCTGGCGTCAACCACTCCCTACGTATGTATCCTCGCTTTTTAAATCTGTTTCTAATGTCCACAATAGCTAAT